CGTAAAAATGACTCATCCATGTAGCCTCACTGATCTGTGATGTGTTATCTGTCCCGATGAGAACTTAAGAAACAACAATTTGGGATAATAAAAAGTCGTTTTTGGGATATGCAATTATGCGCACCTTTTCCGTTCTGCATTTAGTTTAGGCATTTTAAATGTAACACCAGAAATGGGCCATTTGAGCAACTCGTGAAAAATGGTCCCGTGTAAAAGCCGAACGAGTTTGACCCACAACCCGGTAAAATGCCCGCAGGCCATAACCAGGTGAGATATGCCTAAGTGGCGTGTCAGAAGACTGCCCTTTTGGCACGCGCTCGGCACGCGCGGGGTCGGCTGGCGGCCCGATCCTGGTGCCATGCAGCATCTGGTCCTGTAGCCAAGGCTTTTGGCACGTGCTCGGCACGCGCGGGGTCGGCTGGCGGCCCCGATCCTGGTGCCGTCAGCATCTGGTCCTGTAGCCAAGGCGGCGACTATTCAGTGGTCTCCACTTGCTCATCCCTCCGCTCGCATCCCTGTGCATACGTGTTCACTACATCGATCAGTTTTGATAGTGATAATGACGGGCTTTACGTCTCATCAACTGTCAGGGCCATTTGGAGACGGATGTCTCCATTAAGCATCATGTGGGATGCGGTAGCAGCGTGGTAGGGGCCGAAATCTAAGACCGACAGGCCGAGAGCCCAGCGCCGAACTACTATACCACTACCGGCCTCAACTATGAGTCTTATTTGATGGGAGCCGAGTGCCCGAACCACTACACCACTACCGGCCAGAGCTATGAGTCTTAGGTGATGAGAGCCGAGCGTCCGAACCACTGCACCACTACCGGCCAGAGCTATGGGTCTTATTTGATGGGAGCCGAGCGTCCGAACCACTACACCACTACACCACTGCCGGCCAGAGCTATGGGTCTTACTTGGTGAGAGCCGAGCGTCCGAACCACTACACCACTACACCACTGCCGGCCAGAGCTATGGGTCTTACTTGGTGAGAGCCGAGCGTCCGAACCACTACACCACTACCGGCCCCAGCTGCGAGTGTTATTTGATGTAAGAAAGAAATGTCTTCAGTGCTTGGTTTGTCAGCATATGAGTTGAACGTTGCCATGTTAATTAGCTACCCTAGCTACATATACCAGGAGGTAATGGCCGAACGAGGCTGTAGTGCATATAAGCAGTGTAGTCGGTAATTAGCCATACAACGTCGTTTAGTACCTCCTGGCATATTGAATGTCATTCACTCAACATAAGGGCTCTGGACTCAGCGGTGAATTTTACAGACCAGGCTGGAACTGCCTCCTCGAGCCTTTTTCGTGCAGTTTCCAGACCAGATCATCCCTTCCTCTTGACATGTCCTTTCGAACTCCCTCCAGTTTTGGATTCTGTACTCTCGCGATACAGTATCAAATATAGGTATAGAAAATGTTCGCGCTGCCAACGATGAGGACATCTTGCATGGTGTAGTTTGCATTCGTGTATCCACTTACGCCCCTCCGTTCTTGGCCGCAGTCGACCTTACGCCTGCAGGTAATGGTCGCGGCTTCATTGTTGATTGGGCAATCTAACGCCTGTCATAAACTCACGCCCACTGCAGAAATACGCCAGTGCCAGATCAATAACCAACGCCACGTGACGTGCACATGGCACGACCCGCCAGCCATCATCGCAGCCCCGTCCTTACCGGTCACGTCGATATCATCACCATCGAGCCGCACACGGCTTTCTCATATCCAGCGTTACGCAGTCTGCGCCGACCATTCATTGGGCTTCAGATCCTCCTCGCCGTCGTAACCCTGTCTTGTCCGCTGTTTCAGTCATCGTGTTTGCACGCTGGCAGCATTGCCTGCCGTAATTGCGAAGCCGTCCTCAGTTTCACAGTGCATGAATAGGACGAAATCCGCCCACAGGCCGGGTAAAGTTTTGATCGAGAGTTGAATTTAAAGCTCAAGCATTCATCTGTCACAGTTTTTCGCATCACATCTTGAGCTAATCATTCGCGACGTCTCTGACTGCACCATGCGACCAGCGAAATCTGAGCGACTAAAACTCCGCTGCTAGGTACCGCATGATCTGCACGTGGCCTAATCCTGTTGTCTGCTCCATGTGACGGCGTCCGCTGCCTAGTGCGGCTGTGTACTGTTCGTTGCAAGAGGCGGTCCCCACTGACCGAGTCCTGTTGTCTGTTGTTAGAGGCGGTCCCTACTGGCTGAGCCCTGTTGTCTGTTTCAAGAGGCGGTCCCCACTGACCGAGTCCAGTTATTCTCTGTTCCAAGAGGTGATACCCGCTGGTGGAGTCCTGAGGTTTGTCGCGATAGGCGGTCCGCGCTAAGAGAGTCCTGTTGTCTTCGTCGAACTCCGGCCGCCTCCCTGTTTTTTTGTTGTTGTTGTTGTTGTTGAGAAAGTAACGCCACGCGCGTCGTCGTGCACCCTTTTATGGAGCGGCAGTGGTCACAGTGACCATAGTAGTGCTCAGAAACAATGGTGCAACCGGGTTTCGAACTCGGGCCTCCCACGTGAGAGCCGAAGGCCGTTGCTGCCGCAGCCAGGCACTATTCTCTCGCCATTTGACGGCGCTCTCTCTGGCTGCTCGCTAGCGCGCTGGTGTGCGACCCCGACTGGATTTCTGCGACTGGAGACACCAGCGGACGCCGCCCCGGTCGCCCGGCTGCACAGGGTTTATTTCACCGCCCAGCGGTCCGGGTGCGGCGCCGGCGCCCGCCCTCTCCGCGGTCATAATTTATGGACGCCGGCAGTCCGTTTCATTATGGCTGCCGTGTCGGGTGGCAGCTGACATTGTGGCGACCGGCGCGGCATAGGTATGCGGTGTGCAGAGGAGAGGAGGCTGGTACATTGCGGCGGTCACCGATCGGCGCGGCGTAGGCATGCGGTGTGCAGGAGAGAGGAGGCTGGTACATCGCGGCGGTCACCGACCGGTGCGGCATAGGTATGCGGTGTGCAGGAGAGAGGAGGCTGGTACATTGCGACGGTCACCGACCGGTGTGGCATAGGTATGCGGTTTGCAGAGGAGAGGAGGTACATCGCGGCGGTCACCGATCAGCGCGGCGTAGGTATGCGGTGTGCAGGAGAGAGGAGGCTGGTACATCGCGGCGGTCACCGACCGGCGCGGCATAGGTACGCGGTGAGCAGAGAAGAAGGATACAGGGGGTCGGCGCTGGTACGGGGGGTCGGCGCGGGATGTGCAGATGAAAGGTAGGCTGGTGCGGGGGCGCGGGTCGGTGTGGACTGTGGACCACCGTCAGCACGCGCGAAGCGATTTTTTTTCTTTTCTTTTGCTGTTTCAGCGTGCGCCGCTGTGCTGGACATTGCGCTGCTGGACTGCAGTGAAGATTCGAGTGACATTGGCACACACCTTGTGCACGCCTATCTAGCGCGTATGATCCAGCGAGTGATATGGGCTGGTCGTTGTGCCAGTGCTACGTGAGAATGCCATCTGACGGTATGTGCTAAGCCCGCGTGTTTTGGCTAGCATTTGTGCATTCCCGTCGTATGCACATCGGTCACGTCTGTTGCGCCTATGGTTAAGCTTCGGTACGCCGATGAGCCCCAAGGCTGCGTTACTGGAATGCCCTGCTTCGGACCAGTTCTCATAGGTCCAAGCTTATCGCGCCATACACTCCACATTACGGTGCGGTACACAAGCGCGACTCCCGCGCTATCACGGCCCTAAACCCATGGCCCGGCAACACAGCCGAGAGACCCGCCCACTGCTGGAAAACTCTTCAAAGCCCACAGCGCCCCTGTATCAGCATGTGGCGTGGCAGCGGCCGGTCACACTGGTGCCGCCTCGGGTGGGCGCCTCTTAGACGGCGGCGCGGCAGCGGCCGGTCACACTGGTGCCGCCTCGGGTGGGCGCCTCTCAGACGACGGTGCGGCAGCGGCCGGTCACGCTGGTGCCGTCTCGGGTGGGCGCCTCTTAGACGGCGGCGCGGCAGCGGCCGGTCACAGTGGTGTCGTCTCGGGTGGGCGCCTCTCAGACGGCGGCGCGGCAGCGGCCGGTCACAGTGGTGTCGTCTCGGGTGGGCGCCTCTTAGACGGCGGTGCGGCAGCGGCCGGTCACAGTGGTGCCGTCTCGGATGGGCGCCTCTCAGACGGCGGCGCGGCAGCGGCCGGTCACACTGGTGCCGCCTCGGATGGGCGCCTTTCAGACGGCGGCGCGGCAGCGGCCGGTCGCACTGGTGCCGCCTCGGATGGGCGCCTTTCAGACGGCGGCGCGGCAGCGGCCGGTCACAGTGGTGCCGCCTCGGGTGCGCGCCTCTCAGACGGCGGCGCGGCAGCGGCCGGTCACAGTGGTGTCGTCTCGGGTGGGCGCCTCTCAGACGGCGGCGCGGCAGCGGCCGGTCACACTGGTGCCGCCTCGGATGGGCGCCTTTCAGACGGCGGCGCGGCAGCGGCCGGTCACAGTGGTGCCGCCTCGGGTGCGCGCCTCTCAGACGGCGGCGCGGCAGCGGCCGGTCACACTGATGCCGTCTCGGGTGGGCGCCTCTCAGCGCTGTCGTCGCGGTACCGGACCGTCCGCGCCAACCCGGATATGCAGAGTAAACGAGCTGTATAACTCAAATCATTGAATAGTATATCGTATATTGCATGTATTTTTGTAGGTTTCGCCAAATCAAACCAAAGTCGGGCGACGGTGTGCACAAGCGCTGGATCGCGATGAGCATTGTTTTACTGCCAACAGGTCCGTGTGAAGCATGCTCTGTATAAGCTTGGACTTTTATCATTTGGGACAGATGGTCATGCCCAGAGACAGAGGACTACCGCACTGTCTTCGCTCAGCAAAGCAAGATATAACCAAATGTACCAAATGAGATTGGTTTTCTTGAGCGCACGGAGCCGCACCGCTCGAACTGGGGACGCGCATTGACACGCCCTGGGAGCGCAGTCACGCAGCCTGCCTCCTTCGTCGAGTGCCGTCTCGGCTGCTGTTGTATCGCAGCCTGCCACCTTCATCAAGTGGCGCCTCCGCTGCTGTTTCAGGAACAGTCACACAAGTCGTACCGGCCGCTGTGCGTGCTGACCTTCCGCTGGAACTACTACCTGCACCAGCTGCAGCCAATGGGCTACCACCTGGTCAACGTGGCTCTGCACGCACTTGTCTGCGTCCTCTTCTTCAGGTGGGTGAGCCATTGGTCCTCCGTCGTCTGCGTCCTGTCCTGCAGGTCGTCGGCAGCTGTGTGGTGTGGAGGTGGTGCGGCCTGGTGGGGACATAGTGCCACGTCGGCACATAGTGCCCTGGAGGGGCCCGCGCCGGCCGCTGTCACCGGGCGAGGGCCGCCGGGAGGTGGCACCTTCAGCGAGTCCCTGAGACTGATGCAGGATGACCCGTCATGAGCCGGGCCACGCACATGCGGACGTGCCGGCGGCCGGTCACGCGCTTTTCCGTTCTCAAACTGTGTCTTTCTGAAAGGTGTGTGCGACGGAGGCGACGCCTGCTGCACTGCCGCCCGTTAGCCAGCTCCCGGACCCCGCTAGAACTGTCCAACCTGATTCCCTCTGATCCCCCTGATCCCTCCCATGATACCCTGAGGCGGACACTCCGCCCTCCGGCCGGCCGCTGCCACGCCGCGCGCGACATCTCGCCGTCCGCCGCTCATTAGCGTGGCCGTGGCTGAGCAGCGCCTGAGCTTAGGCCGTCGTCAGGCCGAGCCGGCGCAGCACGCGGCGGCGCGACCCTCCTCGCGGACACTCGGGCGGCGTCGGCCTCCGTGTGACGCAGCGTGTGACGAGAGGTCGACGTCTGCGCGAGGAGGTGCATCTGCAATCGTGATCCGCAGGCGCGTCGTCACAACAGTGCGTCCAAATGCTGGCAGGATGTACAGTTGTGGCTGATCGCCATGCGTTCCCTCTCATTCACAGCTCCTTCTCCTGAGTTCCTCTGGCCGCTGCCGCTAAATGCATTCTGCTCACGGGTGCCGATTTCACTGGCAGTTGTTGACCTTTGCTGCAGCCGACTTCAGCTCCTCCCAGCCGGATCCAGCGTGGAAAAACTGTGTTAAATGTGAACAAGCTGTTAAAACTGTGTTAAACTCTCCTGTGTTAGTGAGCAAGTGTAGTTGCATCTCCTCCCTACCTCGTTGATGGTCACTGATGGAAGGGAGGCGTATTAACGTCTCTTTTGACAGCGGCGGTGGCCTGACGCGTTTGTCTCCGTTCAGGGTGTGCGTCATGTTCCTGCCGGAGCTGGGTAGCTTCCTGGCGGCGCTGTTGTTCGCCGTGCACCCTATCCACACGGAAGCGGTGAGTGCTGCCGCGGAGGAGCGGCCCGGGTGTCGCCGGACTCCACCGGACCCTAGCCTTGCGCCGGCGTCTGGCGACCTTGCTGGCTCTGCCAGTTCCCGGCATGTTATAATTTTGCCCGGTATTTGTATAACATCGTGACTTTCTTTGCTCGTGGTGCTGCCCAGGCGAGCCACGCGTGGTTGGACAGCGTTCCTGGTCGCCTGGTCTCCTGGGCGCCTGTGCTGACCCCTGAACATTGTCTTGCCGACGTTCAGGACCCGGGTAGCCGGCGAGGCAGGCGCATCTCCGATCGACCCTCCCTGGCCCAGCCTGTGATATGCTGCCTCCAGCATGCCCTCTCCCCCCCCCCCCCCCGCGGCGTGCAGACATATTGACCGCGAACTGCGCCGCTGGCCGCGCTATATTTGACGCCGCTAGCGCCGAATGGCTAGGCGCGGTGATAATTGTGACCAATGAGGGGGGGGGGGGGGGGGGCCTGTCTGTGGCCGGTCGGGCGGGCGGCTGGCTGGGACGGCTCGACGGCGCGAACCGGGAAATGGTCCGCCCACTGGCAGCCGCGCCCCTCCTGGCGGCGTGAGGTGGCGGCTGTTGTGTGTTCAGCCAACACCGTCCGCCGTGTGCAGATGGAGGCTCTGTAGAGCCTTCCTATAGATGAGCGTGCGAGGCAGCACACCTGTAATAAAATGGTCTCTCCTGGGCTGTGTGCTATTATCGTTTTGCCGTATTTGTTCTGTGTTGCTTTTTCCGCTCCTGCAGTGTCATTCGAGACAGGCTGGCTGGTTTTCCTTTGTCGGGCCTTTGCTGTCACTCGGTTGCCGTTTACCGACCGCCGCGCGTTATAACCAGCAGCGCACACATCCGGCGCGGGCGGCCGCCGGCGCGCTGTCCCCAGCACCGCTACCGCCTGGCCCGCCATGCTGTCCCCAGCACCGCTGCCGCCGGCTGGCTCTGCGCGAGCCTCACCACCGGGCAACGTGGCGTTGACCCACCTCCGCCTCGGTGGGTGCCGCACCGACCCGCGTCCGGCCGGGTCGGCGCAGGCTTCACCAGCGGGTGGCCTGGCGTTGACCCACCTCCGCCTCGGTGGGTGCCGCACCGACCCGTGTCCGGCCGGGTCGGCGCAGGCCTCACCAGCGGGTGGCCTGGTGTTGTCCCACCTCCGCCCGGCCGGGTCGGCACGGGCTTCATCAGCGTGTTGCCTGGTGTTGACCCGCCGTCTCCACGGTCGTGCGCGTATCAGAACGCGTTGTTCTCATCAGCGTCGTTCTCCAACGCGTCATTATTGTGACTGGCTCGCGGCCAGGCTTGTAATCAGCGAGCGGGTGGACGCAGTAATCTGTTGCTGAAGTGTCAGAAGCATGGCCGAGAAGTCTCCGGCGTCTTCTGAGACTGGAGCTGGATATAGTGCTACGGATATGGTCGGCGATAATGGGGATGTGGTATGTGCGCTAGTTTTCCTGCTGCGGCCACCACCCGTGTCCCATGGCCCTACTTCATGGCTTCTGCCCGGCGGCCGTCACATGAGGTGACCCATGTCCATCTGTGAGAAATATTGACGAGCGATATTTGCTCGCTCCAGGTCCATCATGTGGGATATTGGCAAGCTATGATTGCTCGCTCCAGCTCCATCTCTCCTGAAAGTTAGAATGCGGTATGGAAACTGGTTAATCATACGCAATGTTGGCCTCAGGACAAATGACGCGTTAGCTGAGAAGACTTCACCTTATCCGTGTTCGCATGGCTCAGCACATATCGGCTTTGTCGAATGCATCAGTTGCATGCAGCGAATGCATCAGTTGCATTTCGCACCCATTGCTGCCACAGTCGCTGTGCACCTTTCAGCAAGGACATGCTAACAAGGTTCGTGGGTGGTAGGTGTTTTGACACGCTAGTGTTGGCTGACATTTGTTAATGAGTCAGATTGCGTGACCGTGTAATAACGATCTTCCATTTCATGCCAAACCGTTGCGACAAGGGCACATCCGCGCCTCGTTCGGTGTCGCGCGCGTTGGCCCGCCAGGTGGCAGGAGTGGGTGGTTGGTCTCGTCGCCGCTGGAACGCTGCCGGGCCTCGGTGCATGCGACGCATTGGTTGACTTCGACACCTCGATATGATCTCCTGGATCTCCTGGGTCTCTCCTGGGCAGGACCGATGGCCGGGCAGGACATCTACAGGGCAGGACCGATGACCGGGCAGGATATCGACAGGGCGGGACCGATGACCGGGCAGGATATCGACAGGGCGGGACCGATGACCGGGCAGGATATCGACAGGGTAGGACCGATGACCGTGCAGGATATCGACAGGACAGGACCGATGACCGGGCAGGATATCGACAGGGCAGGACCGATGACCGGGCAGGATATCGACAGGGCAGGACCGATGACCGTGCAGGATATCGACAGGGCGGGACCGATGACCGGGCAGGATATCGACAGGGCGGGACCGATGACCGGGCAGGATATCGACAGGGCGGGACCGATGACCGTGCAGGACATCTGCAGGGCAGGACCGATGACCGGGCAGGACAGAACAGGGCAGAGTGGATTACAGAGCGGAACCGAGGACAACGCAGGGCAGGGGATGGCATACGACAAGGGACCATGCAGGTTGGAGGAAATGGCATGGCATAGAACACGGGGAGCAGACTACATGGGGAATGGGCACAAAGGGGTAGGTCAGACATGACTGGTGAAAAGCCAGAGGGAAAAACAAGACAAGACCGGTCTTGTACTGCTTTGTCTTGAGACACATCTCGTTCTGCCGTGCTCCAATCTATCATCTTGCCTACCCTGTCCCGTGATTTCCTCTACCCCTACCTTGCCCAGCCCAGCTGGTCCTCCCCACGTCTTTCCGTTCGGTTCAGTTTCGTTACATTTGGTTTTGTTGTATCCCGTGTCGTGCCGTGCTGTGCCGTGCCGTGCCGTGCCGTGCCGTGCCGTTCCGTTTCGTTCAGTGAATATTGTAGGGTAAGCAACGTCCCGTATAAATGGGGAACGTGTACATTTTGGCAGCAGAAAGAATGACGGGTGTAAGCATTTGAATCACAAATGTTGCCCTGTGGCCCTAATATCACGCTTAAGTTTTGGTAGCTGAAGTAATGCTGCGCAGTGGTGAGCGCTGCATGAGTTTTTGTCGTACAGGTAATGACTGGTATCATTTTTTATATAAGCTTTGTGGTTTAGCGTTAACGCCACGCACTGGTTTTTCCAATGGAAGTAATGCCCCGTGTAAGCATTTATTTCCTTATAAGATTTTGCAGTAGACGTAAGACCGGGTCTTTGAAATGTAACTTTTGTGGTGAAGCATCAATGTCGGGTAGAAGTCTGCAGTAGAAATCATGTCGTGCAAGTAAGTACATACTAATAGTTTTGCAGCAGAAGTAGTGACGGACATAAGTTTGTAAAGCAAAATATTTGCCACGAGGCACTCACCAGGTTTAAGCACTGGCAGAAGAAGTAATGTTGTAGCACTCTGTCGGTAGGAGTTTTTAGCATCGCTCTGATGTTGATTTGATGGATGATGATTATGTTGATGATGATTTTAGCGTAGCGCCGGTGGAACCCGTGATATGATCTGCAGCGTTTGGTGACACGTCAGAGATGTTGGTCAGGTGACGGGCGTAGTGGGCCGAGCCGAGCTGCTGTCGTCCGTGTTCTTCCTGGCCGCCTTCCTGGCGTACGCTCGTTCGGTGCGGCTGCATCAGATCACAGGTGAGGGGTCGGTTGGCCCGGCGGCCGGCCCTCCGGATCGGCACCAGTGACGGCCGGCCCTGCTGGCCCCTGCCCCTGTTACAGACGATCACAGGAGCAGGGGCCAGTAGGGGCACGTGACCGCGGGCCGTGTCCGCCGTATCGGATGTCGCAGGGCTGGCGGCACGTGCTGGCTGTCGCTCGTTGTCGCCCTTGGCAGTGTGTGGCCCTGAAGGTTTCTTCATAAGTCTGGGGGGGGGGGGGGGGCACGTACTTTGTATTGGCGTTGACGTCCTTGCCATCAGTACCATCAAAAAGCTCCAATGTGCGCATTTATTCTTGCTTTCGTTACGCTTCTCTGGTATTTTCATGCCAGCCATGGCTGCCAGTGCAACAGACCGCCTGGCCGTGTGTACCTCGATCGGGAGTCAGTGGTGTCTGGCGAGGAGTGTGGCGAGAGATGCTCTCCGGACCCCTGATAGCTTGGCCGTGTGTACCTCGATCGGGAGTCAGTGGTGTCTGGCGAGGAGTGTGGCGAGAGATGCTCTCCAGACCCCTGATAGCTTGGCCGTGTGTACCTCGATCGGGAGTCAGTGGTGTCTGGCGAGGAGTGTGGCGAGAGATGCTCTCCGGACCCCTGATGGCCTGGTCGGGAGCGAAACAGCGGCAGATAGCAGTCTGTTTGCAATGAATCCGCCTGGCCCTCTCATTGCTGCTGATATGTGATCACATTTTCATATGACTGCTGGTGTGCGACCAAATTTTGCGTATGTCTGGCGTATGTGTGTCATGTATGTGTGTATGTCTTTCGTATGTATTTTCTCCTGTCATGTGTAATTTTTATCAGGTGGAAATGCAATACCGTACGTATCGAAGCACCTGCCCATACATTACGATCGCTAAGGCTTGTGTTCAGGAGGGATTGAAAGCCCTTGTGGATAGCGTGAGCTATGTGCATCCCACGACATATGGAATCGCAAACAACGCAGATATTTCGTACAGCAATCTGCTGCTTGACGGCCTCCCCTCGATAGGCAGTGTTGATTGGGCAACCCTTTTCGGGGTGGACGGGCAGCCAGATGCACCATCCGGTCTCGGGCAGCGTTCGCCTTCTTGGAATGAACCTTAAGTAAATTTTAACAACGAGAGTGCGCACTCCGTAAAAGTAGTTAGATTGCCGATGATATTCGGCCGAAGACTGCGTTTTGTGAGAAATATGCCTCAGACACGTAATGGCTTAATTTGGAGTACGCACTTCGTAACGTCTGCATGTTGTTCTCAGAATGGGCGCAAAATGACCCTAGAAGTCGACGCGCCCTAAAACCCCAATCATCATCATCGTCATTGTTCTCAGACTGGCGGTGGATGGCGGCGACCATCTTGTGCATCACGGCCGCCATGTTGTGCAAGGAGCAGGGCATCACTGTCGTCGGCGTCTGTGCCGTTTACGAGATATTTGTTGTGAGGAAGGTAAGTCGGCCCCATGCTGCGACCATGCCACCGAACCGGGCCAGCCGAGCGTGACGGGTGGGTCTGCTACCGCGTAACCGGTGGATGACGGCGGCGGTGTCCGCTAGGATCGCGCTGAAGCCGGCCACTCTGATGGAGCGCGCTGAGGCCGGGCACTCTGATGGAGCGCGCTGAGGCTGGGCACTCTGAGGGAGCGCGCTGAGGCCGGCCACTCTGAGGGAGCGCGCTGAGGCTGGGCACTCTGAGGGAGCGCGCTGAAGCCGGCCACTCTGAGGGAGCGCGCTGAGGCTGGGCACTCTGAGGGAGCGCACTGAGGCTGGGCACTGAGGGAGCGCGCTGAGGCCGGGCACTCTGAGGGATCGCGCTGAGGCTGGGCACATTGAGGGAGCGCGCTGAGGCTGGGCACTCTGAGGGATCGCGCTGAGGCTGGGCACTCTGAGGGAGCGCGCTGAGGCTAGTCACTGAGGGATCGCGCTGAGGCTGGGCACTCTGAGGGAGCGCGATGAAGCCGGGCACTGAGGGAGCGCGCTGAGGCCGGGCACTCTGAGGAAGCGCGCTGAGGCTGGGGACTCTGAGGGAGCGCGCTGAAGCCAGCCACTCTGAGGGGCCGCGCTGAGGCTGGACAGTCTGAGGGAGCGCGCTGAAGCAGCGAGATGAGCTGCCTCAGGTCCGCTCCGATCCCTGCGGTCGGCAAACCAAGGGCAGATTTGAGGCCCGTCTCTGTGGCAGCCCCTGTCAAGGTCACGTCAGTATGTCCCTGTGTATAAAAGTAATGATTTGTTATCCGACTTCGGCTGGGCTTTCAAAAATCGTGGCATGATTGGCCTAGCTGACTGTATGTTTGTCACGGCCAGCCAAATTGCAGCGGTTGCTTCAACAGACACCGCCAGGGAGGGGTTGACGCGGACCGTGGATGCTTCATCAAACACCGAAAGGAAGGGTTTGACGCGGGCCGTGGATGCCTGAATCACCTCATTTGGTGAACGTGCCAGAGTAATGCGGTTCAGCGTACAGCGTGTTCAGCGCACAGCGTGTTCAGCGTACAGCGTGTTCAGTATAGCGCATCACGGGTAAATACGAGCAGGCGACCGCTGCACGTATAGTTACTGCATTCGATACATATTGTGGCAAGTCACGTGATGACCTTGTTATCTGACGTTCGTGATGATCCCGTACCAGTCACAGCTAGTCCGCTGACTGGTGGTGTCCAGCCGGCGGTGCGGGGCTCTGCCGGCGTGTTCGGACCGAGCTCACCCGGTGGCGCCAGGGCCGCAGGGTCTGGACCCAGTTCGCTCGGTAGTGCCGAGCCGCGGGGTCTGCTGCTAGCCCCCCACCTAGCCCCCCACCTGCCCACCGATGTTGGCGTTGGCTCGTTGGGAGGACAGCGTTTCGCCTCGGATGGGCCCCCGGGGAACATTGCGGTGTTTGTGTCTTTTCGTAGCATGCTTTGGCGCGAGCCAACTGAACTTGAGGCACATTTTCGTTCTATGAGAACGTGTTGGGAAGTTTCCAGCTGTCGCTCGATAACTGGGATATTGTTTGCTGAAGGAAAATGTGCCTACTCAATTGTGTGCAGTACTGCACTTTTTCATGTCTTTTTATGCGGGCATGGTAGCAAACTGCTCCTTCCCCACCATGTCTCGGACGCATTTTCATACATGTTTCACCCTGTTCACCGTCCCAGCCATTCGTGTTGTAATCCATGCCACGGCGAGATGTTCGTTATGACCTAAGCGGCTTCACCTGAATGAAAATCAACGAATCTGACTCCATATAACGAATATCTGCACATTTATGTTACTTCTGTTTTCATTTATAAGTATTTTTATATAACTTCAATCTGTTCATGTGCTCTCAAATTATCTTCGTGATTTGGGAGCACATGAATCGCTCCCCCATTTCCCCTTTTGCCAGTGTCCACTATGATGCATTGTCAGCTGTAGCTGGGTCAGTCTGCCGGCGGTAACTGGCCTGTTGCTCAGTTCGAAGTCGGCCGTGACGTGTTTCAGCTGCGGCTGAGCAGCCTGACTCCGGTGCTGCACAGTCTGTTGCGAGGCAAGTCGGCTCCTCCGGCGTGGCTCTTCCCCACTGCCCGCCGGCTGGCCGCACTGGGCTTGACCACTCTCTGCCTGCTCGTGGCCCGGGTCAGGATCATGGGCGCCCAGCTGCCGGTGTTCACAAGGTCAGTGACACCTCTGCTGATGGTTTAGCTAAGGTCAGGGCGATGGGCGCCCAGCTGCCGGTGTTCACCAGGTCAGTGACGCCTCTGCTGATGGTTTAGCTAAGGTCAGGGTCATGGGCGCCCAGCTGCCGGTGTTCACCAGGTCAGTGACACCTCTGCTGATGGTTTAGCTAAGGTCAGGGCGATGGGCGCCCAACTGCCCGTACTCACCAGGGTCAGCAGGGTCTATTTTGACATGTTAACTGGGGGAAAATCATCTCCACCAGTGACTGACTGCCAAAGCCCACCCACAGATAACAGTGAAATTCCTTCCCCCGTTAGTGAAAGCGTGTTGTTGGTAGCACACCCGACCAAGCATTTGCCACCCGCTACCCGGCGCAGTAAACACTATATATCTGTAGTCATTCAGTTGCTTGCAAATAGAAGAACGGGGATAACGGAAAATGAGGGGACAGGTGTGTTTTATATGTCGGGTTTCAAATTCCATCACCTGGACTTTGATTGGCAAAGATCGGTACAAAGATGGGAAGTGTTCTTCATATTTTCGCCGATCTATTGGATTTCATTCTGATCGATTCAGGTTCACAAACTGTTGGAATCGCAAGCTTCACAGCACAGCTCGCACGAACCAGGGCGAATTTGGGTGACCTACGTAAGAAGAGAGTGCTGACTAAGTGCTGACACCCTCAGGAGAAAGTGCTGGCTTGCCCGAAAACCACCTGTCCTTTGCTATGACTGGAAAAGTACACTATTTGTCCGGGCGTAGCCGGACAAGATCTATCGCCAAAATCTATCTATCGTCAACTGTCGACCTCTGTCGAAGGTTCGGAAGCAAAATATAATTTCGTGTGTTGCCAGATCAACAGCTCTGAAACATATCGAAACATATCGGGGGCTCACAATTAAATATACAGACCGTTCCAAAACGAATATGGTTGTTGGTTCCGCTTTTGTGTGTGGCCCCGATACGCGATCACTTCCACTGTCAGCCCATGCGTCCGTGTATATACAGAGCTTGTGGCCATCATTAAGGCGCTTTGCTTTATAGAGGTGGACGAAGACAGTCTGCACGTGATTTTGTCGGACTCGGAAGTGCCCTTTCGGCGTTAAGGCATTTTAGTCGGTCAGTCCGCTTATACAGGATATTTTACTCCGTCTCGACACCCTTTACCGGGCTGGCAAGACCATAGCACGTTGCCGGATTCCGAGCCACGTTGGCATTACGGGAAATGAACTGGCTGGCGCTGCCGCAAAGCATGCTACTCTTCGTCTTTGTCGCAGAGCGTTTCCAATACCCGCTACAGACCTATACTCGGCCATCTCTACCTTTTTGCGTGGGGATGGCAGAGTACATATGATGCGATGGACACCAGCAAACTGAAAAGCATTTAGCCGATTGTCCAGGAATGGCAGCCATCCTATCGAAAGTCTAGACGGGAGGAATTTATCCTGTGTCCTGGCCATGCTTATGCTACACATCGATACCTACTATGTCGCGACAAACTACCACGGTGTCGCCACTGCAACGCCACGCTTGCAGTGGAACATGTGCTCGTATGCCGTCCCATCCTACGCCTCGAGCGTCTGATGTACTCTCGCCCGGCGGCGCTGTCCCTGACGCTCTTCGATTTACTATGTGACAGCTCACCATATATCGGGCATACCCTCACGTTCGTATCGCATGTTAAGTTGTGCATTTTATGTGCACCTGCCTGAATACTACCTTCCTGTCACTCAGCCGTTTTCATTTCTGACTAATACGTATTTTTTTAGCCATTTACCTACATAGCTAGTCATTTAGCTGTCACGGACGCCAAGTGACCACAGTAGTCGGTGCGCCTTAAAACTCCAATCAACAACAACCATCGGCTCGGTTTTTCGCCTGTATACGCTGGTCACTCCGATGCTTGGTATTGAGCTGAGCCGACCTTCGACCGCGCCTCACTGAAGCCGGCGTGTGCCGCAGGTTCGACAACCCGGCCTCCGTGGCCGACTCGGTCACCCGATGGCTGACATACCACTATTTGCTGGCCCTGAACGCGGGCCTCCTGCTGCTACCTGGTCCGCTCTGCTGCGACTGGACCATGGGCACCGTGCCGCTGCTGACGTCTGTCGGCGACCCGCGCAACCTGGCCACGCTGGCCACGTACGCAGCGCTGGCGCTGCTGGCAGGCCGCGCGCTCAGCGTCGCCGACCGTGTCTCGGATGTGGTCATCATGGTGAGAAAAGGCACGAGCCGCTGGGGACGGCCGTCTGTTGGTGCCGTGCCGAGGGTGCCTGCTGGTGCGGGAACGTGTTCGGGAGCCATGAAGCTGCACAGGAGTATTGCTTTGACTTTCCGGGACCTTGGTGCCGTCGGTGTAAGGGTGTAATGTCCGGCCACTTACGTGGCCGCTCTGGCGACAGGATAGACATGCATAGGTTATTCATTATTGGTAAACGTTGGTAAAAATACACATTGGTAAACGGTTAAAGCGGCACTGTGGTAAGCGGCAGCAGAGGCCCTGTCTTAGCGGCACTGTGGTAAGTGGCTGCAGCAGCCCGGTCTTAGCGGCACTGTGGTAAGCGGCAGCCGCCGGCGTGGGGTTCGAAGGCCGCAGACCTGGCCTTTGGCGCCGCCTGGGCGTCCGGTCCGTGGCGTGGCCTGGTGAGCCCGGCACGCCTCTGCGCTGGGCTCTTCGGGCACCCAGCGCACCTTTGGGCTTTTTGGATATATATATATATATATAACGTGCGCATTGCTTGGTTCTGCTCCATGCATGGCCCTCATTGAAGGAGGAACGCTGTTGTCGATGTGATGGATAGATCCCGTCGCGTTACGCCCACTAGGGGCGTGCCGCAGAGGTCAGCTCTGGGGCGGGCGGCTGACTGACGGCCTGAGCTCTGTGTTGGCCGCGCTCTCACCTCAGCATCCGTCGTCACGCGCCATGCTCTATGTTTGCAGGGTGTGGCGCTGGTGGCGCTGCCGTTCCTGCCGGCTTCGAACCTCTTCTTCCCGGTTGGCTTCGTGGTGGCGGAGCGCGTGCTGTACATGCCGTCCATGGGCCTCTCCGTGCTGGTGGCCGCCGGCTGCGCCCGTCTGGCCGCCGCCCGGTGAGTGATATGGCTCGGGCCCCCGCCCGGTGAGTGACATGACCTGGGCGCGCCCGGTGAGTGACATGACCTGGGCCCGCCCGGTGAGTCACATGACTAGGGGCCCCGCCCGGTGAGTGACATGACCTGGCCCCGCCGGGTGAGTGACATGACCTGGGCCCCGCCCGGTGAGTGACATGACCTGGCCCCGCCCGGTGAGTGACATGACTCGGGCCCCCGCCCGGTGAGTGACATGACCTGGCCCCGCCCGGTGAGTGACATGACCTGGGCCCCGCCCGGTGAGTGACATGACCTGGGCCCGCCCGGTGAGTGACATGACCTGGGCCCGCCCGATGAGTGACATGACCTGGGCCCCGCCCGGTGAGTGACATGACCTGGCCCCGCCCGGTGAGTGACATGACCTGGGCCCGCCCGATGAGTCACATGACTAGGGGCCCCGCCCGGTGAGTGACATGCCCTGGCCCCGCCGGGTGAGTGACATGACCTGGGCCCCGCCCGGTGAGTCACATGACTCGGGGCCCGCCCGGTGAGTCACATGACCTGGGCGCGCCCGGTGAGTGACATGACCTGGGCCCCGCCCGGTGAGTCACATGACTCGGGCCCCCGTCTGCCGCGCGGCACTCTGGCTGAGCCGTAGGGGAATCGTGATCGTAGTTTATATATGGACTTGCTCGCTGACGCTTGGATGAGGAACGGCTGCTTTCTGTTGGGAAAGCAGCCGTTTGTGGACATTAATGGTCAGGTGGATTTGGACGGGACCCATCATTTTTTAAGTTAAATTCTGCGGTGTTCCGACGTGTGACAGCAGCGCTTGCTTCATAGCCTGCACGTTTTCTTGTCCTCAACATGCCTGTCTCGTGCACGCTGGTTTATATTGTTGTGTACGTAATTAGTTGCCCTCTGTCCTGCCAACGTGATCATCGTCTTGGTGGCACAGTGGTTTAGCTCGCCTGCGTTGTGAGCGTGTACGCATTTCGTGTTGGGTTCGAATCTCAACAGCGGCTGCCTTTCTTTTGTAAGGAGACCTTTTGTTTTCGCGTCTGTTCTCGAAGCTACGCGGTCACGTGACCCGGCCAATCATAGGCCGGGGAGTAGGTCACGCCTGGGGTCGGGGTCGGCGGCGGGTCAGTGGTGGTCCGGGCGGCGCCGGGGAAGGTAACCCAGCTCTCGTTGATATTCACGGACATAGCTGGCTCCTTTCCCTGCGCTCCGTTTGACTGTCACTCCGGTCCTTCTACCCTCAGCTCTCGTTGATATTCACGACGTAGCTGGCTCCTCTCCCTCCGATCCCTTTGACTCCGACTCCGGTTCTTCTACCCTCCGCTGTCGTTGATATACACGTCAGCGTGTCCTTGCCAACACTGTTATTCACGACGTTGACAAATCTTTAGTGGCCGGTGTTGTTACCGACGACTGCTACCTCCGCTAGGGATTATAGCCGCCGTGCACTCGTATCGAACATGGTCTAAGCGATGTAAGAAATTTTGATGACTTCGTGCCTATGTGCTCCTGTGATTAATATACCCCAGTTTTGGCTCAACGCCTTTGGTCTACTAGAGATTAAATCCAGCCCGCCCAACATAACAATATGTCATACCGCACTTACTAGACCACTTCCGTCATTTGTCAGGAATAAATGGTGGGTTGTATCTCGTGCTGTGTGCAGATAGAGTGAGGCCGTGGAGGTGCGTCTGCTGCTGTTTCTGGAAGCGCCATCCACTGCTCACTCGGTGCACTTTCTTCCGAGGGCCTCACCCTCAGACCCCCTCCCCGCCGCCCGCGTGTTCGGCGCCCCCCGCCGTCCGCTCGTAACTAGCCATGACCGGCCGATGATCGGAATGTGTGAGCTGATATTCGCCGCGTGACCGGCTGGCGTCTGTGCCGGCGCCCGGTGATGTCTGTGCCGGCGCCCGGTGACGTCTGTGCCAGCGCCCGGTGACGTCTGTGTCGGCGCCAGGTGACGTCTGTGCCGGCGCATGCTGACGTGTGTGCTGGCGCCCGGTGATGTCTGTGCCGGCGCCCGGTGACGTCTGTGCCAGCGCCCGGTGATGTCTGTGCCGGCGCCCGGTGACGTCTGTGCCGGCGCCCGGTGACGTCTGTGCCAGCGCCCGGTGATGTCTGTGACGGCGCCCGGTGACGTCTGTGCCGGCGCCCGGTGACGTCTTTGCCGGCGCCCGGTGACGTCTGTGCCAGCGCCCGGTGACGTCTGTGCCGGCGCCCGATGACGTCTGTGCCGGCGCCCGGTGACGTCCGTGCCAGCGCCCGGTGACGTCTGTGTCGGCGCCAGGTGACGTCTGTGCCGGCGCATGCTGACGTGTGTGCCGGTGCCCGGTGACGTCTGTGCCGGCGCCCGGTGACGTCTGTTTCGGCGCCCGGTGACGTCTGTGCCGGCGCCCGGTGACGTCTGTGCCGGCGCCCGGTGATGTCTGTGCCAGCGCCCGGTGACGTGTGTGCCGGCGCCCGGTAACGTCTGTGCCAGCGCCCGATGACGTCGGTACCCGGACGCCGTGGCCGAAATATATTGTCGCCCGCCATTTGTGCGCTTTTCGGCCGGTCGGGTGGCCGGCCGGCCGCACGAGGCGCGTTTAGTTCGCGGCCATTGCTGTCATTGTGTCCTGGTCAAGCGAGGCCGTGGTGGGGATCCGGGAGCGGAGGGGGATGTTGCACGTCACGAGATGGCGTGGCAAGGGAACGGAGGGAGTGCTACCTGGGGCGCGGAAGCGTGGGCACATGGCTGGGAAGCGGTGCCGATCGTGTGACGGCTAGGGAGGTCGGACTGAGTCTGTGTGGAGCTGATCAGCTGTCATGACCAGCGTGAAGCACGCAAAGGCTAAGCGACGTCTGGTATAGGCTGCTGCGGTGGTCGACTTCTGTGTGCCTTGTTCGCACGTATGGACACGAAAGTCATGGTCAATGTTCTTAACTTTTCGACAACACTATACTTCTGTCGAATCCTATTGTCCCAGATGTATTTTCCTTGTCATCCTTTCAACCTGCCCCGGACTCGGTTGTGGCGCCCGTTGGCCCTGACAGGAGCCGACCTGTCTGTAACTTGTCTCTGATCGCATGTGTCCCTCGCCTTCCCCGACCGTGTTCCCGTCTGCGGCCGGTCGGTGTTCTTCACCTTCCCTGACCGTGTTCCCGTCCCCGGCCGGTCAGTGTTCTTCACCTTCCCTGACCGTGTCCCCGACTGTGACCGGTCTGTGTCCTCGATGTCTCTCACCTTCCCCGACCGTATTTCCGTCTATGACCGGTCTGTGTCCCTCACTTTCCCTGACCGTGTCCCGGTCTGTGACCTGTCGTTGTCCCTCACCTTCCCCGACCGTATTTCCGTCTGTGACCGGTCGTTGTCCCTCACCTTCCCTGACCGTGTCCCCGTCTGTGACCGGTCGGTGTCCCTCACCTTCCCTGACTGTGTTTCCGTCTATGACCGGTCGGTGGCTCGTCTCTGCAGGTCGGCTCGGGCCGCCGTCTGCTGCGGGCTGGCTCTGCTCCTCCTCTCACACGGTCTGAAGACCTACCGGCGCAACTGGGACTGGTCCACCGAACACAGCATCTTCATGGCCGGCCTCCAGGTCAACCGCAATAATGCCAAGCTCTACAACAACGTGGGCCACGCGCTCGAGAGCCGCCAGCAGTTCGAGCAGGCGCTCGTCTTCTTCCAGCATGCCGTTCGGTAGGCGCCCGGCCAGCTGTCCCGCCGCGGACTCAGGAGTCCCGCCGCCGACAACGGCCGCTGGCCATCCTGCGCACCGGGTGTCGGCAGCGGCCGAGCCGCCGCAGCAGGCTACGCTGTCGCTACCCCTGCGATGTTCGCTTGTGCGCTGTTGTTGTCCGTACTTCTAGAGCCTGAACGCGGAGTTGTCGAGGCTGAGTGCCAGCTGCTCCGGCCCTCGGTATCCGTTTGACCGGCCGCTGGTGTAGCTGTAAGGCCGACGTCGTGTGCGAAGGCCGCTTAGCAGCTGGCCGAAGTGGCTCGCCATCTGGCGGTCGCGTCGAATCGGCGCCGAGCTCGCCCGACTATTGTCATCTCGATAGCGGCCTCCGGGAGGCGTTGAGAAGCTGTGGAGGATGCCGTTTGGTGTCGCCGAGGTGTGCCCGATGCCCCCGCGGCTCGTGACTGACGGGCCGCCGCCGCCGCCGCAGGGTGCAGGGCGACGACATCGGCGCCCACATCAACGTCGGCAGGACCTACACCAGTCTGCAGATGTACGACGAGGCCGAGCAGGCGTACCGCACGGTGAGTTGTGCTGCTCTCCCACCTCCGGAGGACCTACACCAGTCTGCAGGTGTACGACGAGGCCGAGCAGGCGTACCGCACCATGAGTTGTGTTGCTCTCTCACCTCCGCACGGTGAGTTGTGTCGCTCTCCCACCTCCGCACGGTGAGTTGTGTCGCTCTCCCACCTCTGCATGGCGAGTTGTGTCGCTCTCCCACCTCCGCATTGTGAGTTGTGCCGCTCTCCCACCCGCGCGCTCTGCTCAGTCGGCCTGGCCATCCACTGCGGGCTCAATATGGCGAGATGCTCGAATGCTTGATTGGTGTCACGCCATATTTTTCACCCTGACGCCTCTTTGCGATGCCAATGGTGCGTTAGTTTAGATTGTTGGGCGAATGCCTGGAGCCGGCAGGGTGATTGTGGTGTGTTCGGACGAAGGAAAATGACGTGCCGAGGGCCAAAATGGTCGCAAATTACTCAGTTGAATCCAGGGGTCGTCTTGATGTCGACGTTAGGCAGTCAAGCCCATACCCTGGCTCCATCTGTGCTGGGAATATGGCGCCGTCAGTCCGGTGACCCGGGATCCCCGCGATTGTTTCGACTGGCTTCCGTATCCCTCCATCGACGTGCTGTGGCGCTGCCCCGAGTTTGGCTGAGGGTCCCGGCCGGCCGACCACAGAAGGCTCTGGCGATTGCCGGCGGCGCCGCGGGAACGACACGTTGGTATTGCGATCGAGCGGTATTGCACGAGTGGGCTCAGCTTGGCTGTCTTGTTTCAGTTGTGTTTTTATCTCGTGTGCTGATTAGCGGAGCAGATTGGCCCCTGAGTCTTAAGGTGCTGATGTGGCGCAGCCTGTAAATGGAAGAGTGCCCCTTAAATTCAGTTTTGGACTTGCACTCAGCAAGTAAGTACATCTTTTGCATGTGAGATTGCTAAGAACATGTCTGTATTTTTTCTCTGGGATGTTTGCTTTCAATGCGTCGCGGCGGCTAGTGTTTTTGTTTTGCCCGACGTGAACTGCTCTCGTGGGGGCCTACAGTTGCGGGCATGCCCGCAGTTGCTTGCCGTGACGTCTGGCGGCGTTGAATTGTGCGGTCGGGGAGCCGCGTGAGGCGGGGAAGTGGTCGGCCGGCCGTCTCTGGCCGCGGCTCCGCACAGTGGTCGCGCCGCCAGCGCTCTGGCGGCTGGCTGCAGCGAGCAGGCGCGTCAGCCGTGCCGCTGTCCATCCCGGCGGGACACTTATAGGGTGTACCAGTCGAGCGGGGCCCATTGACCAGCCGTGGTCAGTGCCGGGCTCGCTGGGGCTGGCACTGTAAGGCCCTTCAACTGCAAATGGGACGACTAGCGTGATAGCGGTGTCAGATGTTAGGACGGTTTTGGGTCTCCAGTTGTGCCGCGGAAAAATTCTAGTTTACTGCTGCCAATTTCATAATAAATCGGTCGTTCCCCAGTTAGCTGTTACGGCCGGCAAACATCATTCAAAGATGAGTTTTTCGTCGATGCCATCGTCTTTGTATTTGACATCAGCTGACACGTCACACAGATGCGTGGTTATTACGTGCTATTTATCAGAGAGATAAAACATACAACAGTCTTTGGTGGGTACTCTTGCGTATACTTGTGCGAGTACAGCTCTTTGTGGACGTTTCGGTTGTAGTAATCGTGCTTGGACTATTTTGATTCCTTGCGTAACGTTTTGAGCTACCGTTTCGTAGCAGTGGTGCGCAGCTATTCATAGACGGCCCTTAATATGTAGGTGTACCGTCCCGCCGTGCACCCTAACGTGTAGGTGTACCGTCCCGCCGTGCGCCCTAACGTGTAGGTGTACCGCCCCGCCGTGCACCCTAACGTGTAGGTGTACCGTCCCGCCGTGCGCCCTAACGTGTAGGTGTACCGTCCCGCCGTGCACCCTAACGTGTAGGTGTACCGTCCCGCCGTGCACCCTAACGGGTAGGTGTACCGTCCCGCCCTAACATGTATGATTCGTAATGCAGCTCACTCGGTGTCGTTGCATTGCAGTCTTCACGAGCTTGGTTGTCAACATTTGATCGCAGGGATACAACTATTCCCTCGATTTCAGCGTAACGTCCGGAAATAAAGCAAAGTCGCGGCGCACCCTTGCTGCAACTGTTGGTGCGACGGAGTCCGGTGTTGATGGAGTGACGGTCCGGTGCGGCGGAGTCTTGTTTCGATGTGCCCCTGGCGAACCCTATCCTCCCCCCCCCCCCCGCTCTCGTGTGACACGGGGGGCTGTCGGCAGGCCAAGGCGCTGCTGCCACGCGCACGACCCGGCCAGGTGTACCAGGCGCGCATCGCGCCCAACCACCTGAACGTGTTCCTCAACCTGGCCAACCTGCTTGCCCGCCACCGGAGCCGGCTGGAGGAGGCGGACGCCCTCTACCGGCAGGCCATCAGCATGCGCGCCGACTATACGCAGGCCTACATCAACCGGGGCGACGTGCTCATCAAGCTGAACCGCACCAAGGAGGCGCAGCGGGTGTACGAGACGGCACTCAGCTACGACAGCCGCAACCCAGACATCTACTACAACGTGGGTGGGCCGCGCAGCGTCGTGCCAGCGGCCCCCGGTGGCCAGCATAGCGCGGATGTATCGCGTTTACTGATGCTTACAAAAACTGAGTGCGCACAGGACGTTGGAGCGGTGTTTTTTCCTGTCATGGATGTCTATTCTAGCGCTGCCACCGCACTTGCAGGACAATCGTGTACATAACTGTGCTGTAGAGGAATCGCGCTATAGCATGGATGTGTGGCAGAATAGAACACCGGTGTATGGAATTTCGCATAGCTCTGCTATGTGCCTGCTAACACCCTACTACCTGACCGGGCGCCGGCCGCGCCTGACCCGGCCTTCTCCATCGACAGCTGGGCGTGGTCTGCCTTGAGCAAGGTGACCAGGAGCAAGCGCAGGCTTACCTGGACAAGGCGTTGGAGTGCGACCCGGACCATCAGCAGGCGCTGCTCAACTCGGCCGTCATGATCCAGGAGGGTGGCTCGCGCGAGCGACGCCCGCTGGCTTACGAGCGTCTGCACCGGCTGATTGAGCTCGGGCCGTCCTCGGTCGGCCTGGACCGGGTCTACTTCAACCTGGGCATGCTCGCCATGGACGACGAGGAACTGGGCCGCGCCGAGGCCTGGCTCAAGAAGGTACGCACACGGGCCGGATGGAGAGGGACGCGGCGGCGACCGGCGAGGGCGGGCGCAGCATCTGGGTGCGAGCATTGCATGCCCGCGTTGTGGGCCAATGTTGGTGGCGAGTGTCATGCTTGCCATTTGGTTGAGCAGTTGAAACGCGCGTGCGCATGTGCATGTGCATGAGAATGCGGGTGTAATGGGGTTTGGCTATGCGCCGTTGACCGCTCCAAAGGATGCGTCTTTCGGCGAGATCTATTTTTCTACTGCCACCACAGCCTAACGCAACTGCCCCCCCCCCCCCCCCCCCCACTCCTTCGATGACCGAGCGATGACCGACAGGCAGTGGAGGTGCGGCCCGACTTCCGGAGCGCGCTCTTCAACCTGGCGCTGCTGCTAAGTGACGCTGGCCGGCCGCTAGAGGCCGTGCCGTTCCTCACGCGCCTGGTGCACCACCACCCGGACCACGTCAAGGCGCTCATCCTGCTCGGCGACATCTACATCAACAACATCCAAGACTTGGCCGAGGCCGAGAAGGTAGGCCCGCGTCCGACCACGTGAGCGAGACGCACGACGCCAGTCTGGGCCTGGTGGTGCTGAGGAGACGGCCATGGCACGGCAGCAGATCGCAGGGACGCGTTGCAAGCGTGGACGGGCGCGGGGCACGATTTGAACATCACTTACCGAAGCTTTGCAGGGAGTTGGCCGTTTTCATCACGTTTCTTCAGGGTTTCTACTATGACTAAGAGGACAGGGAGACGCACTCTGTCTCTGAGTATGTCGTTCTTGAGCTTCCATCACTGTCGGAGCCCCCCCCCCCCCCCCCCTCCCTTCTGACGCCTCCTCCCCGCCCCTCGGCAGTGTTACGAGCAGATCCTGCGCGTCGAGCCGAAGCACGTGCAGGGACTGCACAATCTGTGTGTGGTGTACGTCAAGCGGGAGGAACTGGAGCGCGCCGAGGCGTGCCTGCTGCGCGCCGCCCGGCTCGCGCCTCGCGAGGACTACATCCAGCGCCACCTGAAGATCGTGCGCGCGCGCCGTCAGGCGGCCGCCGCCAAGAGCCGGGCAGAGCTGGCACCGTAGCGGAGCTTGAGGTGAGTGCGGCGGCGGGCGCACCGGTGGCACCGCTCCTTCCCGGCCGGGTGTGTAGTGCGCTGACAGGGTTCCTTGTCGTCTCGTGGCGGTGTCAGTACTGATCGGGCTGCAGATATGAAGGTTTTAGTGGCGGATGGGGCGCTCCCGCTTGTTGATAGCGGTCTCCTCCGTTTTCTTGATTTTCACCTGGTGCTCCTCAGTTGCATACATAATTCTTGATACTCACGTTTGTATGTCAATGGCCGAAAATCCGTCTCCCATCCAGCCAATTATCTAACCAGCGGCAGCGCCGTGGACGAGCACGCTTCATAACAAAATCACGTAAGAAATTGAGGTATCTTATGCGTTTTGGCGCCACCTTCTCCAGAAATCACGGCTGATATTCCTTCTTATTTCCAGGCCCCAGCCGGAACACGATACAGCTGTTATCAAAGCGATACTCAGGTGATGGTCGGCGTGGCCCCTACAGGATCCGGCAGTGGTCGGCGCCCCTTGACAACGCTACGGACTCCAGCAGTGGTCGGCGCCCCCTGGCGACGTGGCGGCTCTGGCAGTGGTCGGCGGCCCCTGGCGACGTGGCGGTTTTGGCAGTGGTCGGCGCCCCCTGGCGACGTGGCGGACTCCGGCGGTGGTCGGTGTTCCCTGGCAACGCGGTGGGCTCCGGCAGTGGTCGGTGTCCCCTGGCGACGCCTAGCATGAGCGACGCTGGGCTGGGTGTGACGTCAGGCCGGCCCGGCAGCGGTGAAGGCGAGCGCATAGGTGTCGGCTCCTTCGTCAAGAGTGCTGTGGTAATGTGGTGATGCGTGCGTTAGGCTTATTAATGAGCGTTTGTACGAGACGATTTATCATGGGTGTGGTTTTTGTGATTCTGTTCCGTGCAGATCACTACGATACTGCGATCTGTGGATTACACACTCTCTCTGCGTGGGATATATGACGTTGAACGAACTAGGCATGCTATTCGGTCCAAGATGCCCAGTATTTTTCATGGATTATTGTCCAAGCAGCACGTGAGAGTGTCCGATCGACGCGTCCTAAGTCCGTCACGTTTCCTTCGTCGCATGTAATTCCCGTGGCTGTACCTCATATCACGACTCACTACGTCGTGTGCTCATGAACAGGGTATCACAGCTATTAGCGCCGCGTGTTCGCCCGCGCCGCTATGGCCGATTCAGGTTCAGGTGTGCTGCATCGCCGCCGCGTGCCTCTCCACCCCGTGTGGCGTCCATTGTGGCAGCTGCGTGACTAGCCGGCCGTCTGGAGCGCCAGGCCGCCGGGGCCTCAGCAAGCCGTTTAGGCGGGGGCGAGCGGGGACTCGGCTGCCAGCAGCTCGAGCCGGGATGATAGAGGCTTGGGCCGTTCCGTGCTGCCGCGCGGAGAGCTGTGGGCCGGCCGTCTCTAGCGCTTCTGTTGTTGCTGGGTGCTTTCGCATACGGAGATGTGTCAGTGCCTACCAATGGCTGATGGAAGCTTACCAGATCCGAAGGCCGATTGTCTGTGATAAAAAAATAAATATTTCTGGTTGTTGGTATGCCTTTGTTCTCCAGGAAACTTGTGATCGACCCGGGTTTCGGCCTCACAATAAGGCGAAGCGGGCGGTGGAGAGGTGTGACGTGACGTGATGTGACGGTGTTTGCTTTCCGTAGCGAATTTCACACATTGGCCGGCTTATAGACGGCATGTGTAAGCGCCCGTTTTGTTCGATAATGAGACAAAGCACGGCAGCTGGGCGACCATTACTGCCATACATACGCTTCACCAGCGGGACGGCTTAATCCAAACATCACCCGGTCAATGTCTCCGTTGCGCGAGAGGTGCTTCTCCATGTTGTGCATCGAAGAACACTATCATTTTAAAGGGTAATTAGATATGAATATTATACCTAATTGGAAACCTTACTTAATATAAACAAAAGAAATGAATACAACCAAATACTTGACAAAAAATCAGAAAATTATAGTTGTTAAGAACAGTTCAAGGCATCTGTGTCTGTGCCTCTCAGGAAGGTACTCCCGTTGCTTAATGCTCAGTATCTCAATATAAAACAGTGCGGAAGTTAGTGAAGTCGTGTACCTTTTAAGCCGAAGAGCGAGAGTGCTGTTTACAAGCTTCCCAAGTCAGTTGTACTCCTCACTAGCGATAATAAACTGGTGAAAGACTAACCACTAGCCTGTATGTGAGGCACCAGAGACATGAGCGCACATGAAACCACCAGCCTGTAAGTGGGGCATCAGACACATGAGCGCACATGAAACCACCAGCCTGTAAGTGGGGCATCAGAAGCATGAGCACTCATGAAACTTATCACACATGCTCCCAGTGCTAGTCCCATCATATCTGTCCCGGTTGTGTGTGGGGGGCGGGGGGGGCATCGGAGCGTTCTGGCCTGCCCAGCCTGCTGGTGGTCTGTGGCGCCGTTTGCAGCTGCGCGTTCGTGCGTAAGCACACCCATGGTGATGTTGGCAACGCCTCTGCGCACGCCTCCTGACGAGGGTATTGAGAACCCTGTTGGTCAGCCCACGAGCCGGAAGGTGTTCCGGCACGTGGTTCGACACGCGGGAACATCAGAGTACCCGAAATCAAACATAACTGTGACCCATCACTGAACTGGGATAAAGCGGGTGATCGGTTAGCATGCGGGATGGTAGGACCCGCTAGGATGAGGCGGGTAATCGGTTAACAGACGGGAGGGTAGGACCCGTTAGGATGAGGTGGGTGATCGGTTAACAGACGGGATGGTAGGACCCGTTGGGATGAGGTGGATGATCTGCTGAAAGGCGGAGTGGTGGGGCCCGTTAGGATAAGCCAGATGATCGGTTGAAAGGCCGAGTGGTGGGGCCCGCTAGACACCATGCACGGTGTAGGCACAATCCGTCGTGTTTTACTGGTGCAGACCACCTGGCTGCGTTTGCTGCCATGGATCTCTGGTCCGCACGCTTGAACCCCTCGGCCGTTAAATTAACTGGCGAGAGGAGCCCGCTGGCTGTCAACCCTAGGAGACCTTCGTCCTTATTCGTCCTCTTTCCTGGCTTGTAAATTCGGCGCCTAACCCCATGTACTCTAAGCACGTCCAATTGCTGGCCCTCGCATCACCCACCCATCTCTGGCACGTACACAGGTCGCCTTCTCCCCACCCCCTCTCTTACGCCCTCCCCCCCCCCCCCCCCCCAGCGCCTCGCAGTTTACGTGGCACATCCGCACAGGTCCTTGAAGAGCCAACTAAATCCTTTTCAGTGCATTTACATGCACACAACCAATGCACACAAATGGACGCGCCTTAGAAGCACGACCCATTTTCAAACGTCGAGTGGACACATTTAAGTGGACACATTCACATTTAAGCCCTAAAACACATTACATCAATTTGGTGTGGCGCGGCACCGAGCGGCTGCCGGCCTGGCCCGGTCCCGGCGCGCCCACACTGCATGGCGGCCCGTTCCGTCACTCTACCTCCAAGGCGACGACTCCCTGTTTGGACGATGCTCCTTCGGGCCTCGCTCGCGACAGGGCCGCCTGCTATTCCATCGGTCTCGCCCACCGCCCACAGCATCCCGCTGCTGCGACGGCGCCTTCAGCGGTGCCCACTGCCTAGTCCGGTGATGGGATATGACCTTCAGTGCATCTGCGCACTCGCCTCCCGCCTGCCAGAGTAAGCATTGCAGGGCACTATCCCACGGTAAGTTGCTCACATGTCTGGGGATTTATATTATGGAGTCCACTCGTTCCGGTTCCGTTCCGTCTTATTTATATGTCCTCAGGACCCAGGTGTACCACACGTGCCACTTCAGCGCTCGACATTCGTATTTATATTGTGTATTAATCCTGTGTACAGCAGTAGGCTTTGGAAGCGCGGGTAAAAAAATTCTGTATTTTGGTGGCTTTGTAGTGCATTTTTGCTTGCGATATATGTGCTGGAATAAGTACCCATACATACCCCGCGCATATTGAAATGCTAAGCCCGATTGTCGTCCAACTTTCCGAAATACGCCACAGGCCTGGTACAAACAATATAAAACTGCTTGCTGTCGCACTATGGGTGGATTGATGACTACGCGCAGACACGCAGTCACCAGAAGTTCCGACAGGTGAAATAGAGTCGTAAAATCAGCGCTGACTTTGGAACTGGGAGCTGATCGAGTACAGGGTCATAGTTCCGCAAAATGAGTTGGAAGAAGTGCTGAACGGCGTAAAATTACTCAGCCTGCTCCAAAATACACCAGCAAACGGGTTTCTCTATGGGTTTGTCTATGGTCTATGGGTTTCTCTTCTCAAAATAGTGGGTTGGAACCGAAGTTGTCGGGGGAGGGGGACTGAAGCACCACCGCTACTCCCAGCTGAACAGGAATTTACACCCCTGACCGAGCGATAAGAATGGAGGTCGTAAGAAATGTCATGCATTAGGTACTCGTCCCACGCCTTTTAGCTTGAAAACTGGGGTCGGACGGAACGGGACAGCATTTGGTCAACAACTTGTGGAAATATTCCAAGTGATGTGCGTTACGACTTGTGCGCAACATGCACGTTGCAGCGTGACCACCTGTAGAGCTGTGCGCAGGTCTGATGTAAGACATGTAATACCTGACACGCAACGGCCTTGCGGTATTTCCAGGACCAAAGCCTCGTATATTAATGCTAAAAGGTACAAAACGAGGCTTCGTTTAGGAAACTGGCCTCTTCTGGCCGCTGTCCCTGCTGCGACATTGGTCTCTTGGCCGCTGTCCCGCTGCTTCCAAGCGACACCCCATGCCTCTAGATCATCGCTGGAGCTGGAGCCAGCCCAAATGGCTCTGCCATAACAACAGACGATTACGCAACTGTTTTTACTCATTGTTTAACGCATCATTTATATCATCACACGTGTTCGATATCATATTTCCAACTACCTCGGGGATGTTTTTTGGGCAAACAAACAAAGGCAAGTGTGGTATACTCTACTAGAGCTGTTGGCACACTTTTCACGAACCAGTGCAACGAAACAGCGTGCAGTGTACCAGTGGAGCAGGTAGGTGGGCACACGTGCCCCCCCCCCCCCCCCTCTCTCCCTCTCTTAGATCCCGAGGGTCCCTTCGGACCCCTTGGGACCGACGATTAAGGGCCCGAAAAGCCGACTGGAGTTGGTGTTTGCGGTCTCCGGCCCGTGGTGACGGGCCCTCGAATGACAGTCGGGAGGCCCTTTGTGTCGATCGGGGACCCTTGAGTTGGTAAGGAACAGTACCGCACAGTCGGCTACGTATCGGTATGAACCAGAGGGCCCACTTCCCAAACAGCAAAAAAAAAACGGGGGCAATGATTTACACTGGTCGAGACCCCTGTATCAGAGTCTCACAGTGCCTAACACGGGGTCCTGTGTTGGCAAGGGGCTGGCAGTCGACCAGGGGCAGTGTTCGATGTGGCCCAAAGATGTGGCCGGTGGGCCACGGGGCCTAATCATCGGAACCGATATCGGAATATATCGGACCCGGAACATAATCGGAACCGACGATCAAGGGCCCTATTGGAGGGTATGAGGGCCCGAAGGGATGGCTGTGTGGTTACATCAAGGATCCCGGCCCGTAGAGTCGTGACCTGAAATATCAGTCAGAGGTCCTCTTGCACCTTTTCAGGACCACTGGGGCAATGCTGGCGTCTAATCCGGTTAAAGACTACCAACACCAAACACGCTTCGTGTCAGTCTGTGCCTTGGCGACCCATATTCCAAGCAAGAACAAGGCCTGGACCGGCGACTGATTATATATATATATATATATATATATATATATATATATATACAATTACTAACACAAAACCTATCAGAGAATGGCATTCTGTGCTTTGAATAACTTCCGGATAAGTTTTTCGATCTCTCGAACATCACTTTTCACATCATTTCTTAGATTAGAAATTAGCTCACCAATAAAAAAGTCCATCATAGTCGGCAGATTTACCTCGCGGGTTATTTGGTGACGAGTTCCAGTTTCAAGGAAAGCGTCGCATGCTATCAGCTACGGCAAAACAGGGAATCAATATTTTGTTATTCTCACAAAACCTTCAGTCAAATGATTGAACCCAATTTCACCCAAGCCATATCGGCAGATTTCGGATTTTATTCCGCCTTGTTCAGCGCATAAACTACCATTCGTCCAATAGCGCAGGCAAGGGAGCACGGGGGGCACGTGCCCTCCCCCCTTAGGCTACGAGTGACCCGAAGGGCCCCTCGGAACCTACGATTAAGGGTCCGATTTGAAGGCCCGAAGGGTCTGAAAGGCCAGCCGAATAGGCCAGCCGGTTCCGTGCCGGCATGGGCCTGAGGAACCACTTCCCAATCAGTTATGAAGCCGGGGCCAGTGATTTACAAAGGTCTGGGGTTTCGCATCTGTCAGGGGCCCACAGCACCAAACATCCGGCCCTGTGCTCGCAAGGGCCCCGAGCCGATCAATGGAAATGTTTGATGAGGCCCGTAGAGGGGCCCGGGCGGCCCACCGCAACCGTCGATCAAAGGCCCGGTTGGAGGGCAAAAGGGCCTGAAGTAATGACTTTA